ATCGTTTGTCATTCTTTTTGACTCTATGATGAAAGTTTTTGCTGTGTTGTGATTTTAATACTGATAGAGACCATTGATTTGTCCTAAATTCTGCACTGGATTATCATTAATTAATTAGTTTGGATTACATACGTCTTACATAGAATCTTGGTAAATAAATTAAATACTAGTGCAACTGATACGTGTATTTGGAGATTCTATGAGCACAAGATAGAGGAGACATAATGACTTATCTCAATAGGTAAAAAAATGAGGGTTAGGTTGAAATTCATTATCTCTTTAATAGGGCATCAACACCTACTCATCTGTCCTTTTTTTAAAAAAAAAGAGTAGAGAGACCTTCAAACACAAAGTCTAGAAAATAAGTTTTGAATCAAATTTCTTAATATTATTTTTGTCACTACCATCCCCTCAAAAAACAGATCATTCTCGCACGACATCATGTGCAACAAAAATCAAAAGGCTGAGACAGTTAAGCTCTAATTTATTTTGGAAATGTATGGGACCAATTGTAATTTTTTCTTTTGTTGATTAATGACATTGTTATTTAACGAGTTGACATTGGCTATTCGGGTTAGGACTCAAGAACGCTAGAGTGTCCTAATCTACCATGCCATGGAATTACATCCACGGTAGCAACCTATTGACTAGAAATTAAGACGAGAAAAGTAGGGAATTCATTTAATGAAAATATTTGAAAAATGACATGCGAAAAGTCTACTTTGCCTTTTCTTTTCACAGAAATGTCAACATTATTGGGTGGTCGGGATGCCATCCATGAAGGAGTTAAGGATACTATAGCGTGACTAAAGTTTCATATACCATGATGACAATTGCACAGTTAAAGGCTCGTATATAACTAAACTTCTATGAGAATTTGTCAGTACACTTCAAAATCTCCAGTACACAAATCACACAGAATATCCATCCTCTAAGCGCCAAAATAATGCTCTTTCCCTCCTAACGGTAATCTTTTTTGTCTTGCAATTTTGGTGATATAGATAGTTTAACACTGACATTGGAGCATGAGTTCAGATTTAGACAACATTATTATCTCATAATATTATGTTCCTTTTAAGGAGCAATTACTTGAAAAACGACTGGATATTATCTATGTTTTGACGTCTCTCATTTCTAAAACAAACGTGACAGTTCGAACTTCATTACCGATACAATCGCAGCATCATGGATTCAAATAACCGCTTATTTTCCTGTCCTGGTAACATCCTAATTCAGTTACGAGCCTATTCTACCTTATGGCAGCTTATAACAAAATTTAGAGTTTCATTCTTATTGGTTGAGGATGAGGTGAAGTGTGTAGCTTTCTATGGAGTGATGTGGTCTCTGCTATGTTTGTTGACAAAAGTATACGATATCGTGATAAATAATATCAAAATAAATTTAATATTGTTCCACGATGACTTTGTTACTATTCTTTAACCTAATTAATCTTATCAATTACTTGAATCAGTGAGCAAATCTAACAATGAACGATTTTTACAAAACTATAAGTTAGAACTGATAATCAACCTAAGTGATCGACAATCATAAATTTTGAGAAAAAAACTCGATCATTTCAAAAGAATTATGACTCGTGAATTTAGTGGAGTTGTCATGTTTGCTTTGATATAAATAAAGTTAAAACACCTGCTACGAATCTATTTAAATTATTTGATAATGTTTCTCAATCAAAATTGAATATGGTAAAATAAGTAAATTGATTTTAAACCTATCGAAGTGCATTCAAGAACAAGAAATTCATTAAAATTTAAAATTTTCCGATGCTATATATAGTATTTAAAATTTAATGAAGTATTCTAACTTCATTTCACCTGCAATTCGGTCTAACAATAATTTTCCTATCAAATATATAAAATTATGAATTTGTCCTTTTAAATTTGGTCAAATTGATTTTTTTTGAGTTTACTAATGATCAAAATGGATAGATACCCGTCCATTTGTCTTCCAACTGCAATTCAAATGAAAGGTTTGGAATCGCTGGTGCAATGTAAAAAATTTGGATATAATTTGAATCCAGCTATAATTTTTGCTAAGTATTTACAAGATAACTATAGTGAAGATAGATATTTCTCTCTACTCAAGTCCTAAACTTTTCCTAAACCGCTATTCGATCCTAATCTAATCCTTTTAAATATATTGGTACCTATAGTATAGGTGGATGAACCTATAATACTTAAAATTACCTGTAGACACGAGGTTGAATACTCAACTTATCTAAGGTTGGTATCCTACATAAATAAAATAGTCACTTTTTCTTTATTGTTCATAAGCCAAGTCGAGCTGAGCCAAATGGTTGGCTTGACAGCTCGGCTTGGCTAAGCTCTTTTTCATTTTTTTTTTTAACGTTTGATTCAATATTTTAAATTACGAATATTAGTTTTACGGGATTTAAAATTTGTTGAAAATGTTGAAGTGCGGCCATGATAAATATATGATCGATAAATTTTAAATATCAAAAATTGAAGTGCGGCCATAATAAATATATGATCGATAAATTTTATATATCAAAATAATTTTACATTAATTGTGAAACGTAAAGTCGTGATTAT